TCTACATAGTTCAACGAGCCGGTGTTTCCCGAAAACGTGGTTGAGTGGTCTGAGAAAAATTTCAGAAATATTCCTCAGATGCCATGTCCGTCATTTATAGCAAAGCATCTAGCATTAATTCGATCTCAAACAGATTCATTAAAAGTAGTTATTACTCCACCACCTGCGCGACGTCATTAAACAACGTGGCTGAACGACCATTTTGCAACAATATGTAACATCTCTTATCAGGGCTGGGTATTGACACAAATTTCACAAGCTTGCAATTCGATTCGATTCAATATTGATTATTTTTGGATATCAGTTGCAATAAATGGCAAATTTTCTCAAGGAAGTAAACTATGGGAGTCTAGTTGTAGCCTATAGGCTTCATTAGCCTAATATGAAGGTAATAATGAACTGTTTAGTAGCTATACAAACACTTAAATTACACTTTTATTTATTTTTATAATAAGAAGATTATATATGAAATATAAACATTTAAATGGTGGCTGTCATAAAAACTTGCCAGATTTATTCAAATATGCATTAAATATTGAAGAACATTAAGATTATAATGCATATGTAATATGGTGTATATATTTTAGCGAAATGCTCCTCTCTAGAGTTATTTTTTCTTGCTGACTAACGAGTTGATGTGGGTTTTCTGAGGTAAATATGACCATACATTGATTACAAGCTGTTTAACTGACGTCTTTCCACGGTTGAAACGCTGATTGAGCGAATCAATGTGACATGATACGGATTTGGATAAGTTGTACTCTATCTTTAACACACTTTCAGATGCTCATTCATGTTTATTTGGCGCTGTGACTGCTATTATTAACCCGGAAGAGAGATCAGCGCTGCTGCTTCTCTCGATCTCACGCCACAGCGCCAAAACGCTATTTATGTTTTTGAATTTCTAAAGAAAATGGACGTAATTTGAAAATTGAGACTTTGTTTCATATCAATAGTAACAAAGGACAAAGATTATTGCGATTTTTTTTGGATGCGCGCAGCCGCGATACAATGATCCATTCATTCAAATGAAACAGGATGACTAATCGATTCTTGAGATTTAAGAATCGATATCGGTTCGTAAAAATGAGAATCGATTAATATCGAGAAATCGATATTTATTACCCAGCCCTATCTCTTAAGCTTCAGCTTCCGTCGTAAACACAGTTAATAATGTTGTTCTTTGGTGGCATTGATGGTTCCATGAAGAACCTTTAACCCTTTCATTACAAAAATAAGGTACTTTAGATTATTACAATTATCTTTACACTAAGAAAAAAATGGTTCTTTTATGAACTGATCACTGAAAGGTTCTTTGGAAAGCGCAACTGGCTTTTAACTCTTTCCCCGCCAAACACGGAATTTTCCGGGTATCCGTGTTTTAGGTGGTATACGGTAAGGAAGACCCGCGCGCATGTCCTGAATGAGTGCGCAACTCTTTGATCAGAGAAACAGATTGCAATCGTCTCAAACAGTGGAGTAGTGAGAATGTATCAGACAGACAATGCAGAGGTATATGGCTGAAGTACTGGAGGTTAATGGACTCGGAGTCCGATCACTCTTTATTTGATAATTCTGAATCTGATAGGGACGAAGTAGTGAGTAAGAGAGATGCACATGTTGTCACAGAAAGTTCTAGCCATGGACGTGCCGCAGATAGATCGTATAATATTATGACACTATAATATGTATGTGTGTGTGCAGGCATTTATGTGTGGCTGTCTAAATATGAAGGTGTAATTGTCAAATTATTTCTCTCTTTGTGCACATTTACCACATTGTAATATGTGTGTGTCTGTGTGTGTGTGTGTGTGTGTGTGTCTAGGCCTGTTTATTGTAATTCCAATTATTCATTATTCACAGGTAGAACACAGAAGTTTTATTGCAAAAGTTACATTTCCCTTACATCCTGGGAAATTTGATATATTTTACATTTATTTATGTTTTTAATTTATTTTGGAAAGTTTTATATATGAAGGAAACAACATCTAAATGTATTCTGCTTTTAAATGCACTTGTTTGATAAAAATACCTTTTTGTCCAAAATGTTGTGTTTTTGACAAAACCTACCTCTGTTCAAGAGGCAATAAAAAAAGAACAAATGAAGATAAAATAAAAACGTTTTTTTTGCCTAAAAGCAGAGGCTCAGATCTTTATTTTTATATATATCATCTTCATATATTCATGGAAGAAAATATTCAGCGGGGCATTAAAATTTAGCGAAAATCGTCAAAAACCCTGGCGGTGGCTGGCAACTTTTTTTTTAAACGCTGGCGGGGAAAGAGTTAAAGGGAATGGGAGATGAGACTCTGATTGGTTTATTTCACGTTACGCCCCAAACACACCCATTACTCATTGAGAGAATAGGGACAACACTTTTAGACCATGCGCCAACCATTTTTCCTGTTGTTGAACTAGAAAAAGTGGATTCGGACACACCCTATAAGGGCACTTGCGCCCTGTGCTTTAGACCATGAGACCATGATGGTTAAAATAGGACCCCTAGAGTTCAAGTGGCAGAACTTTCTCTCTCTCTGTCTTTGTCCAGGGAACCAGGTTAGCAGCCGACTCATGAGCATGCGCAGCGCTAACGGACTCCTGATGCTACCTCCCAAAACCGAGCAATACGTGGAGCTGCACAAGGGCGAGGTGGTGGACGTGATGGTCATCGGCCGTCTATGATGACAGCGGCGGGCGGAAGGACACAGAGTGACGGGTGGTTCACGGTGCATGTTCACATATCATTGACTGTAATATGCAACGGCACAGCTAGTTTTTATTGATTTGGATAACGCTGAAGTATAGTCAACATCTTGATCACAAAACTAGATACATATGAGAAAAAAAAAAATCTATTATTTCAAAGAAAGAAAAAATATAACTTTTAAATTATAAAATCTAATTATAAAAAGAGATTTATTCTGTATTATTATTATTATTATTGCATTTTTCTTGTCATTATTATTATTATTATTATATTAAGGCAACTTTATTCTTTTCATTGCGGTTGCTTTGTGTGTTCAATGCTAGATCTTATAGCTGTAGCATTTTAATAGAAAACTGTAGGTGCCTGCCCGGAGATAAAAACAAAAAAGAAAAGAGAGAATATTATTTCCCCGTTTTAACAATGAAAAATGACTGCTTTGGTTTTTTTTCGGACATGGGGAAGAACGCGACAACTTGAAATCCGGACTCTGGAGGGTGGCACTTTTTGTCTTACGTGTCATTGACGTGACACTTTTACTTTTCCTCCCATTAGTAGGCATCATTATGACATCACAAAGAGCTTTGCTTGTCGTTTATCTCGTGAGTCTTGTTTGTGTGCGCAGTGCCAAACGCGTGGGTGCACGACGGTCGTGCCCGGGGGAACACGGGCCTGGTCACCCAATCCCTGAAGCTTCCTTATAATCACATGACCTGGTGTAGCCCCGCCCCCCTCCCCCAGGGGGTGGAGTCACAGGCGAACATTTTATTTGAATATACTTTAAAAGAGGAGAAAAAAAAACAACAACAACAGCTTATTTAAGTGCTGACTGCCTTTTTAATCAACTACACAAAAATGTACAGTAAAAAAAAGAACAATTGAATTGTACAGATAAATGTGACCAGCACTCCTGCGGAATATGACCAAGCAATGAGGAGACATTGAACAAATCTGTATAATAACATTTTCTGTAATGATAAGAACCTAATGAGAGAGACTACAATAATAAAATCCTTGATCATTATATAAAAATAGCATTGTGGAATTTTCTTGTAATAAAATGAATAAAAACATAATTCCTTAACGTGTGTGATTATGGTCTACTGATTCACCAGTGCATTCAAAAAACACACTAATTTTGCAGTGTTTTATATATATATATCATTTCTAATGAGCTGTGTGTGTGTGGGGGGGGGATCTTCATTATTATATTATATTATATTATATTATATTATATTATATTATATTATATTATATTATATTATATTATATTATATTATATTATTGTAAATTACCAAAAAAGGATATGATTGGATGGATATAGTCAGAATTTGCAGAATTTTTTTTAATTTAATTTAGAATTTAGCAATTTAATAATTGTTAAAATGGTATGCTTTTTTAGGTTGTTTTTTTTTCTTTCTAAAACTAAATTAAGGTACTGCTTCCTAATTTCATTTCATTAAATCGTATGCTTTTTTGGATATATATTTACTTTTATTTTAAAAATATCATTTTATTTAAATTTTTTATTTACAATTGTACATTTATTTACAATTTACATTTTTTTCCCTATCCTATCCAATTATGCTTTTTAGTTATTTAAAAATTGAAATAATAATCATATATTATTTATATATTTACATTTTTAAATCACCAATAAGGCTTATGACTGGATGAAAGCATGCAGTCAATTTTCAGAAAAATGTGAAAATAATAAGATTATATATATATGTTTGTATATATATATATATATATATATTAGTGCTGTCAAACCAAAATAAAAGTTTGTGTTTACATGATATACTGTATGTGGGTGCACTGTGTATAATTATCTTGTATATATATAAAAATACACACACATGCATGTATATTTAATAAAGAAATATATTATTTATATATAAAATATTGATATTTATATATAATATAAATTATTTATAAATCTATATACAGTATATACATGAACATATTTCTTAAATATATACAAGCATGTGTGTGCATTTATATATATATAAAATAATTATACACAGTGCACCCACATAAACACAAACTTTTATTTTGGATGCGATAAATCGCAATTAATCATTTGACAGCCCTTATATATATATATATATATATATATATATATATATGAGATTTAATGTCAATTTGTAGTCCATATGAAATAAAAAGAATCAGAGCGTAATTGCAGACGTGATGATGATGATGATGATGATGATGAAGCAGCATTAACACCTCAGTCTCGTGGCGCTGACGGGTTTACAGGAGATTACTGAACTCATGAAGTCACAGCTGATCAAGTTCATCCTCAGACACCTGAGCTGTGGACACACTTCAACTGGACCTCAGTGAAAACACCACTCGATTTATCACTCCATTGACCTTTAACAGCAGATGAGACCTGGGACTCCATGCACACAGTGAGTAAGATGAGGAGCTTTGTTTACATTTATAAATCGTCATTTACTTTTATGAGTGCGTTGCGTTTGGTTCGGTTCATGCTGGGCTGCTGTACTTTACGATTCAGTGACTGAAAGGTCAAAGGTTCAAACGTACAAGAAAAGTGCAAGAGGAAAGACATGCAAGAACATTTGCTGTTATACGTTTATCTAGTCGGACACATTAGTGGCACTTACAGCTGGATTTATGCTAGAATAACTATAATAACCGCATGAAATTAAGTGAAAAGATCGAATTAAATATTTCACTCAATCCCTTGCAGAAATGTATCGCAGTTTCTGCCAAAATTGATTTCTTTACTTTGGCTATTTAGTTGATTTATTATGATTTAGTAACTGAGATTGTGTTAGTTAATGTTTGTAAGGGATGTTTGGTCAGCGTGAGATTTATAGGTGCGGTTTGTTGGTTTTAGATCAGCGGTCCTGTAATTAGATGTTAATAATCTGACGTTATTAATCTAGATTGACGTTGTGTTTTAACAAAACAGATGTCCATCTGAATCATGTTTAATATGTAAGGTGGAATAAGGAACTGTGTAGGTGTGTGTGGCAAGTTATTGGGACAAAATGTCCCCCAAAATACTAAAATCTTTGTCCTTGTGTGGAGATGTTTTGGTCCCCATGAGGAAAACCACTTAGAAATCAGATTATCGGGATATTTTTGATGCAGAAAGTGTTGTGTGATGGTTAGTGTGTGTGTGTGATGGGCAGGTTTAGGGGTCGGGTTAGTGTAAGTAGAGAGAAAATGTTTGTATATTATGTCTATAGAATGTCCCCATTTAGATATCTAAGTAAACACGTGTGTGTGTGTGTGTGATTCTGAAATCGTCAGTAAGTAATCTCAGATGAACAGATGGTCGTTTTCCACTGCCACCTGTTACTTTAAACACAGCTGAAAGTCTGCATGTGAGACTGCTGAAACGTGATTGGTTCCTTCAGAGGAAGTAGATTTCACCCAAAGTTTTGAAAGTATTGTGCAGTTTAGTGGCGCCAAAATTACACACTTCACCTTTAAAGGGCTCATATCTTCACAAATCGAGCTCTCCTTGATCTTTTGAGGTAAGAGTTTATGAAATCACAAAACCGTCCAAATCCAAAACAAGTTAGTTTTAATAATAAGCGTGTAGTTTTATCTCGTATGTATATACGAAAAAGTGAGCCAGCCTAGGAAAATTGGGATCTTCAAATATATTAAAATGATTAAAATGCTTATTTTGTAAGCATATTGCGAAGTTGTGCACTGATAACACAATGAAACATAAATTATGGCGACATCATTTTGGCCAGGCTGTCATATAACGAATTTATGAACACATGCAAAAACAAGAGAGAATCAATGACATTTTTTATTTTCATAATTTTTTTATCTTGAACATTTAAATTTTTCAAATTTTATACCAATATTATTTTGTAGTCAACTTGTGCTTTTTGCTGTGAGCTTTTTGTTTTCTATGCTTTTTTTTTTTTTTTGCCAAATAATTTTGTCAGATAATCAAGTTTAGTGTTTTGTTCTTCCCTCATACTTAAAAAAAAAATATATATATATATATATTAAAAACAAATTTGCCTTTGGACATGACTTTTGGCCACCACTGTGTTTATATATATTGTTTGAGGGTATGAATATGCATCAATGCCTTATGCTCTGAACTCTCTGAACCTTCACTATAAAACAGCCATGTTAACGTTACACATGAACGGGGACATGGCGGAGGACAGAGACGTGGACGGTCCTGACAAACTCATCACTCAATGCTGCACTGACCAGACGGCAGAATCCCGAGACGCCCCAGAGATGATGAAGGAGGAGGAAGAGGCTTTTGAACGGGAAACTGATGATCTGAACTCGTCCTCGGGTCAGGAATTGACACAGAGCCGCATTGAGGGCAACAATCATCCCTTTTTTGATGTGATGGACGTTGCCAAGTCAAGCACAGAAGAGGAAACGGCAACAGGTGAGAGACATAGGGTTCACAGGATAGTTCACTTTGAAGTTATTTTTGGGTGTTAGGGTGAATTGATTGATATAAAGTCGCATTGCGTGTTATAAAGTCAGAATTGCGAGATAAACTATTCTGTGTGGGGGGATCAGTCTTTTTTCCCCTTAGAATTGGCCTGATAACTCGCAATTGCGAGTTTATATCTCACAATTCTGAGAAAAGATGTCAATTTCGAGATATAAACTTGCAATTATGTGTTATAAAGTGAGAAAAATAGTCTTAATTCTCTTTTTTTCTCAAAATTGCGACTTTATTTCTCAGAATTGCGACTTTATATCTCGCAATTTTGACTTTATATCTCAGAATTGTGAATTTATATCTCCCAATTGCGACTTTATATTTCAGAATTGCGACTTTATATCTCAGAATTGTGACTTTATATCTCAGAATTGTGACTTTATATCTCGCAATTTTGACTTTATATCTCAGATTTGTGACTTTATATCTCAGAATTGTGACTTTATATCTCGCAATTTTGACTTTATATCTCAGATTTGTGACTTTATATCTCAGAATTGTGACTTTATATCTCAGATTTGTGACTTTATATCTCAGAATTGCGACTTTATTTCTCAGAATTGTGACTTTATATCTCAGATTTGTGACTTTATATCTCAGAATTGCGACTTTATTTCTCAGAATTGTGACTTTATATCTCGCAATTGTGACTTTATATCTCAGAATTGCGACTTTATTTCTCAGAATTGTGACTTTATATCTCGCAATTTTGACTTTATATCTCAGAATTGTGACTTTATATTTCGCAATTGCGACTTTATTTCTCAGAATTGTGACTTTATATTTCAGAATTGCGACATTATTTCTCAGAATTGCGACTTTATTTCTCAGAATTGTGACTTTATATCTCGCAATTTTGACTTTATATCTCAGATTTGTGACTTTATATCTCAGAATTGTGACTTTATATTTCGCAATTGTGACTTTATTTCTCAGAATTGTGACTTTATATCTCAGAATTGTGAATTTATATCTCCCAATTGCGACTTTATATTTCAGAATTGCGACTTTATATCTCAGAATTGTGACTTTATATCTCAGAATTGTGACTTTATATCTCGCAATTTTGACTTTATATCTCGCAATTTTGACTTTATATCTCAGATTTGTGACTTTATATCTCAGAATTGTGACTTTATATCTCGCAATTTTGACTTTATATCTCAGATTTGTGACTTTATATCTCAGAATTGCGACTTTATTTCTCAGAATTGTGACTTTATATCTCAGATTTGTGACTTTATATCTCAGAATTGCGACTTTATTTCTCAGAATTGTGACTTTATATCTCGCAATTGTGACTTTATATCTCAGAATTGCGACTTTATTTCTCAGAATTGTGACTTTATATCTCGCAATTTTGACTTTATATCTCAGAATTGTGACTTTATATTTCGCAATTGCGACTTTATTTCTCAGAATTGTGACTTTATATTTCAGAATTGCGACTTTATTTCTCAGAATTGTGACTTTATATCTCAGAATTGCTACTTCATTTCTCAGAATTGTGACTATATCTCGCAATTGTGACTTTATTTCTCAGAATTGTGACTTTATATCTCACAATTGCGACTTCATATCTCACAATTGCGACTTCATATCTCGCAATTCTGACTTCATATCTCACAATTGTGATAAAAAGTCGCAATTATTTTTTATTTATTTTTATTATTCAGTGGCGGAAACAAGCTTCCATACACTGAAGACTGAAGTAATGATGCTGAAAATTCAGCTTTGATCACAGGAATAAATTACATTTTACAATATATTCACATAGAAAACGTCATAATAATATTGAAAAAATTTTACTGTATTTTGGATCAACTAAATGCAGCCTTGGTGATAAGGAAGACTTCTTTCCAACATTAAAATCTTCTGAACGCTCGTGTAGTTCAGTAGGATCTGTATCACATGTGACTGTCCTCCAGAGATGCCTCGCCTCGCCTCTGTACTCTTAACCTCAGGTTTCTCAGGATTGTCCCTATAAGAAGTGCACTGCGCATTCCTTTGGGATAAACGTTTCTGCTAAATGACTGATGGCTTACAAGATTATGTTGACTGGTGACAAATGTCAAAATTTCATTTCACAATGTGGATTTGAAAGTGAAATGTATGCAATGATTTTTAGGCGAAATAATAGCATGGTACAGTAAAAAGCCTTGAAGGTGAAGTGTGTAATTTTTGGTATTACATTTTCTTTTGTCTTGTTTTCTGGACATCAAGAGAAATGTAAGAAAAAATGGGGTTTAGGAAATTAATCTTGTTTTCCCTTTTGAATTTATTTGTTGTCGTCAAAAATATATATTGTGGCCATGAATTAACAATTCATTCCCACGAATTACTAATAAGTAAGCACGTTTTAGGTGAATTGTGTGCACAATATAATTTCTTTCCCGTGTTTTAGTTAAATCGTGACCATGTTGTGCTAATTTGTTCCCTCGTTTTGATTTAACTATAAGGATCGATCACAAACGGCTCTGAGATTGTGTATCCAAATGCCGTATTTATTAAAAGGGTAATCCAAAGACAAAATCCAAAGTACAGGCAGGGTCAAACACAGGCAGTCCAAACAAACAAACAAACACAAGGCAGGGAACACAAGCAAAAGAGTGATCCACTGAACGGGCAACAAATCCAAAAAACAAGAGACATGCAGTGCAGGGAAATGCAGTGGAAAGGTCATTGGACACTGACTCTGATTTTCGCATGCGTTTTTCCATATCTGTGATGTGAACACCATTCAAATGTTTGCGAAACAGATGCCAGGAACCTGATTCGATTTTTTTTGTGACGGACATAAGTTTCGGAGGCAGTGTGCAAGCGTGACTGAAATAACGTGAGGTCGTATTTATTTTTTAACGTGCGAAATTTTCGTCCGTCATGAAAAAAATCGAATCGGGTTTGATTTTCTGCGTTTTTCGCATCCATAGCAAACAGTTTGAATGGTCTGACAATTCAGAGCCACCGAATCACGAATACGAAAAACGCATAATTTTTGGCCTTAAAGGCCCTTGTACACCAAGTCCAAAATTCGATTGACATGAGGTCATATTTATTTTTTAACAGGCGGAAATTTTGGGCGCAAATTTCGGACTAAAAGTGTGCAATGGCAGATGCAAATTTGCGTCCGAAATTTTTGCAGGTTAAAAAATAAATACAACCTCACGTTTATGTCAATCACGCTTGCACACTACCTCCGAAACTTTCGTCCCTCATAAAAGAAATCGAATCGGTTCAATTTTCTGCGTTTTTCGCATTGATAGCAAGCAGCTTGAATGGCGTTTGAATAGTGTTTTGACAATTCAGAGCCACCGAATCACGAATCGACCGCAAGCTAGCTATTAATGGATTTCAAGGTCAAGGTAACCTTGGCCTAAACGTTCAAATATTAGGCTATATCTTGATGTCTTTTATAAAATATCAAATATTTTCTGTGACAAAAAAATTTATTAAATAAAACTTACATGCATTAAATATACAAAAAGCAGCCGTGTTGAATTGTGAAATGTGTGGCAGATGAATAGTTTTCTGCAGTAAATATATTTATACTATTTATAAATATCCAAAAATATACCCATGTGTGTAAAATTGATGTAGAAATACAAAAACCATGTTTGTTTATAAAGTAAGAAAGGAAAAATAAACATAATGATTTGTGGAATTTAATGAATACCTGGATTAATAAATGATAAAATACATTTCTTTCAAATATTCGGCAAAGAAACATAAATACGGGTCTTTTTAGACCCATGTTGCGCATTAGAATGGTAGTGAAACAACAATGATTTGTATTCGAAAAGTAAGAAAGGAAAATTATTGTGATCTAAATCAAGTAAATTGAGGAATACCTGGAATACTGAATGATGAAATTAATTTCTTGCAAAGGTATAGAAAATGAAAACTCCGTCAGGTCTATTTAGACCCATGTTGTGGATCAAAGGGTTAATGATATGCTAAAGCCCGCCCATGCTTTGATCTGATTTGTTACAAGGTTGTTTGTGGCGTCAGAAACACCAGCGATTTCAAACCGTGTTTTTTTTTTTTGTCTTTGGTTCACTGCAGTTGTAAAGAGAAAATACTCAGCAATGCTGTCGACTCATGAATTTACACATGGTTTGTCCTAAGCATATTAAAAACACATAAGTTTGGACACCCATGCTAAAGTTGCCTAAAAAGAGGAATAAAAAAAATCATCTTTTAGATATTGATCTTAATGACTTAATTAGAAAAATGAGGAAAACTCCAACCTTTAAGGACACACATTTTCTTTGTGAATGAATAATGTCTCATAAATAAATAAATGTTTTTCCTTAAAATACAGGGTGCATAAGTCAGGGCACCCCTATGTTAAATTCCCATAGAGTCAGGCAGATTTTTATTTTTAAAAGCCAGTTATTTCATGGATCCAGGATAATATGCATCCTGATAAAGTTCCCTTAAAATATCCCCACATCATCACACACCTTCCACCACACCTAGAGATCGGCATGGGGTACTTTCCATAAGATCATCTTTCAATGCAAATCAAACTGTTAGGCTAACTGAAGTAAAACCATGCCAATCTCTAGGTGTGGTGGAAGGTGTGTGATGATGTGGGGATATTTTAAGGGAACTTTATCAGGATGCATATTATCCTGGATCCATGAAATAACTGGCTTTTAAAAATAAAAATCTGCCTGACTCTATGGGAATTTAACATAGGGGTGCCCTGACTTATGCACCCTGTATTTTAAGGAAAAACATTTATTTATTTATGAGACATTATTCATTCACAAAGAAAATTGGTGTCCTTAAAAGGTTTGATTTTTCCTAATTTTTTTAATTAAGGCATTAAGATCAATATCCAAAAGATGATTTTGTATTCCTCTTTTTAGGCAACTTTAGCATGGGTGTCCAAACTTATTCACATCACTGTAAACGCTGGATTTTCATGATGGGGGACTCTAAGGAAAACAACGTTTTCATGCAGGCAGTGCTTTGAAAAGCTCAGAAAGTTTGTTGTATTAGAGATCTTTAAAAACTTGTCATTTAGAAGTGAATGGAAAAGTCATTGAAATGCATTAGTTAAAAGGCATGTTTTTGTTGTTGTTGAATGATTATCAATGGCTGTGTGTTGTCAGAGCTGGAGGATCTGCTGGACTCTCTGCGCTGTCTTCATCTGTGTCTGACTGATGCTGAGAGTCAGGAGGACCTTCATCTGCTGGTGGAGCTCCTGCTTCAGACAGACTTCCAGCAGGCGTTCGCCATGCACCGCAGCGTCGCTCTCGGCATGAGACGCCTGTGCCCGCCGTACCCGCTCACCACACACGCTCAGCAGCTCAGAGACGAGGTACAGCTCTACTCATCTGGGTACACACCAAAGATTTTTACATCTTATAAGATTAAGATCAAAATGTGAGAAAAGGAGAACAAATCCTAGATTTGACCGTTTTGCTCCAATCGAGTGCCGAAGTGATGACGTCACTTTGTAGGACAACTCGGAAGTTAGCGAAAAGCTATGTATTTTCCCCATAGACTTTTGGAAAATCGCAAAAATTAAGATCTGTGTTCAACAAAGAGTCGTGACCCTTACACGTTTTGTCTATCAAGATAATCTTTACTAGTTAATCCAAACTGTATACATTTTGAAGCCTATATAAAGTTTAAAAAAAAACCACAAGCAGGTTATAACTGGTGTGTTTTATGTCATAGATCAAAACTTGAAAATATTTATAGGCTTTGTTAACCACAGACCTTATTTCAGGCGATACGGTGAAAGCAAAACCCATAAAGGTGAAATTTATGAAAAATAAGACTTTTTAAAACAGAACCACTAATACTACTCTATATCCACCAATAGCCACTAATGTTATATTGCACCCCATAAACACAATCATGCAAAGAAAAAAAGCGGTAAACCACCCCTTTAATCAATGCATCCTCGCTGAATAAAAGTAGGCTATTAATTAAAAAAATAAAATCTTACTGGCACCATACTTTTGAACAGTGGCGATTAATAAAAGTATATGTATAATCAAATATGTGTTTACATTCAATAAAATGTGTGTTTTTTGTTTGTTTATTTGTTTGTTGCACAGAGCTAATCGCATGAGAATGACTCTCTAAAATCAAGGACCACAGTGGAAATAAGTTAATGCAACTTTATAGTGTTATCCTTGACGAATTTGTAATTGGTACTTTTTATGTCAAATAAACTCCAACTGAAACGCAATGCATTCTGGAATTGCATTGTTATGTCCCGTATTATACGGAACGGTTGGACGTGGAGTTTTAAAACGCTGTTAAAAAGGAAAGATCACCAAAAAAAAGACAAAAGCTAAGTTAAACAAAAATAATTGATTTTTGTTTTTGTAGTGGAAATGGAAATGATAAGTTAAAGGAAAATGACTTCAGGGTGCCCCAAGGCCAAAATAATATACAAAATAAACTTATAAACAAAACAATACTAAGTTACCTAAACCAAAAATAGACCAAAAATACAAAATGACTCTCGATTATATAACTCTCGACACCAATGATGCCTGTTTATTCAGGAAGCTCACTCGATTTTGCACCGCATCTTATGTGAATCTGTACTTTTTGGAGGTGTTTGTAGTCACCGTACTTGAGCAAAGGCACCCGGGGTGCTTAATTAGGACGTGGTAAGTGGCGGATCTGCCCTGTGCCAAATCATGAAGCTGGAGGAAGCCATTGGCTGTGGGGAATGTAATCCGTCACTGGCTTACAGACTGAAGTGTGATGCACTAAGACTTCCTGGAGGCCAGGATGAGATCTGATGGATTATTACAATCAGTGTGTGTGTGTGTGTGTGTATGTGCTGATTAGTTTATTGTCAAATGCAACACAGAGAGGTGTTTCATCACTAAATAATGAAACTAGCATGAATGATTTTTTTAACAATAACTATAGAATTATGTATTTAAAAAACTAAATATATTTTTTTCATATTGACTTTAAAATACTAAAAAATGGTTGAATATACACTCTAAAAAATGATGGGTTATTTTAACCCAATTTTGGGTAAAATATGGACAAACCCAGCCATTGGGTTAAATTTTTAAATGACATTTTTTACCCAATGGCTGGGTTTGTCCATATTTTACCCAATATTGGGTTAAAACAACCCAGCATTTTTTAGAGTGTAGGCAAACATTGAAGGTTACCATATTATAATCAGATCTAAAATGAAAATTCTTTTGTTTGTTTGGGGTTTTTTTTTAGAAGCAAACTGGAATGACCCTAATTTTATATTTTATTTTATTTTTTTATTGTTTTACCTAATCAGAATGTTATGAACCTTGGTAAAGGTTTTTGGCAATTGCTATGTGAACACAAATAAAAAATCATGGACTTCATGAAAAGGTTAAATAGTCCTAAAACATAGTCACACACAATGCAAAAATGAGCGCATTGGAAGTGAATAGAGAGCCTAAGTCCCGCCCCTCCGCTTCCGGCTCATGGGACCTTATTTCGGAAAAAAATATGTACGGTAGTCAATGGCGAGAGACAACTTATCTTTTTATTCCGTCTGAACTATGCCCTCAATTACACATATGATGTTTGTCTATTTAAAAGGTAATTATGAAAGTCAAAAACGTCGCAGTTTGTCATAAAAGAGAAGAGTAACTTTTAGTTTGATGTGAAAATCGCTCAATGAACTACATCTCCTGGGAAGCGAAACAACGAGCGAGATCCGCTGCTCATGTCTGGTACAAAACACTCAGGCATGACGGCGTAACGTTACGATTATAACGTAATAAACAATGACAGACATTAGCCTCAGTAAAGTTAACCTCATTCATTGAGAGAAAATGTGCGCCTTTGGGATTTGTAGTCTTTGTAATTACGTATTTTCACAGTCTTATACCTCAACGGTTTTGCTTTTTTTTTACTTTAAAATGTATCTTTTAAATTGACAAACATCATATGTGCAATTCAGGGCACAATTCAAACGAGATCAAAATATTTGTTGTCTCTCGCCATTGACTACCATTCAATATTTTTCTGAAATAAGGTCCCATGGTGGTCGACCGGAAGGGGAGGGACTTAGGCTCTCTATGTGAAATTAATTTCATCTAGTGGAAACTTTTGGTACTGCACCTGAACAAAATCTTTCTGGAAGCAATTTTTTAAGATATCAACATCAAATTTGCAGCACATTTGTTTAGATTTATGGCTCTGATTTTTGATTTGACTAAACGAAAAACGGAATAAAATTAATTACATTAATTTAATTGAAAATAATCCGCCGTTTTTGACCGCCACTCGTTAAATTTGTACAATTGGGTGGTGCAAAATGAGCATGAAATGTAACGAAAATGTATTTGACTTTGTTTTAATGATCGATAAGTCATAGTGATGCTTGGGCCTAGATTGAATGTGGCTAAGTTGACTCATTCGTGACTCGTGTCATTGGTCCACAGGTGGAAAGTGTCCTTCACTCCAGTAAACACACTGAAGCCACAGAACTAACAGGCCTGCTGACTTCACCACACCTACAGGTAAATGATGAGGGAATGCCACACATCATGTCCTTGTTGGCATCTGGATAATTTTCCAAGTTTTAATACACACACCTTTGAAATCAGCAACACATATGGGAATTTGTCACATTTAAAAGCTGACAGGCCTTTTATTTTGCTCATAAATGCATTCATTGCTATCATAAATATGCAAGATGATGTGGTTAAATGCAAATAATTGTTTGCATTGGTAACACTTTACAATAAGGTCCCATTGATCAAAGAATCAAGATCTGATCTGCTGTCTAACATGTTCAGGCCCAAATTAAACTCTAACAAGGGCATGAAAACAACTTCCCCGTGTGTCTATTTGTACACACCACAGATTAGATCCAATTATCGGCCTTAGAAACAGATACCGGGCACAAGATCATTACCCTCCTGCATAACAGAAGATTTTCACCCCTTTTCCCAGCCCTCCCGCTGCTTTCCCTCACCACACGCTAACAGTCCGAGTTAAACTCTGTCTGTCTCTACTGTATGAAAAATTACAGGTAAAACAGAGGTGATGTGATGATTGACAGCGCTGTGGGAGATTATGGAGGATTGGATTTATGTTCAGGGTAAGCTGTTGGCAGTCTGGCATTGAGAAACGGATGTGGCCAAGGGTTATTATTGTGGGCTACGGTACGCCTGTCAACTTCAGTGAGGTAAAGCGGCAATCCTGTGTCAGGGGTTTCAGTGTGGGTCAGAGTCTTAAACCAAATGGGCTGGAACTTGCTTGAGTGCTTCTCAGCTTGAAAGAAGATTGATTGTTTGCTTGTTTAAAAAAAAAAAAAAAAGGCACGGCTTTATTTTAACTTCATTTTTTTACTTTTTCTGAAGACAATAGGTGCTGTCACCAAGATGCTAGGATTTTGAAGGGTTGCTAGGGTGTTGCTATGCAGTTGAGTTATTTAAAATGTTACTATGGTGTTCTGGGTAGTTATAAGGGTTATGCTAGGCTGTCGTAGGCTAGTTAGCTGCTATAGGGTGTTTTCTGTGCTTATTAGGGAGTTGATAGGTGGTTGCTAGGGTGTTGCTATGTATTTGCTGATGTGTTTAAAAATGTAGTTTTGTGGATGCTATGGTGTTCTGGGTAGTTATAAGGGTTATGCTAGGCTGTCGTAGGCTAGTTAGCTGCTATAGGGTGTTTTCTGTGCGTATTGGGGAGTTGAGAGGTGGTTGCTAGGGTGTTGCTATGTATTTGCTAATGTGTTCTGGGTGTTTAAATAAGTTATGGGGATGCTATGGTGTTCTGGGTAGTTATAAGGGTTATGCTAGGCTATGCAGTTGCAAAGGTATTATGAGTGTTTTAAAAATTTTCTGTGTGCTTGCTTGCTATGGTGTCCCGGGTGGTTGTAAGGGTGTTGCTAAACCAATGCTAGGTAGCTGCTATAGGGTGTTTTCTGTGCTTACTGGGGAGTTGATAGGTGGTTGCTAGGGTGTTGCTATGTATTTGCTAATGTGTTTAAAAATGTAGTTTTGTGGATGCTATGGTGTTCTGGGTAGTTTTAAGGGTGTTGCTAAGCCAATGCTAGGTAGCTGCTATAGGGTGTTTTCTGGGAGTTGATAGGTGGTTGCTAGGGTGTTGCTATACAGTTTCAAAGGTGTTATCAGTGTTTAAAAAAAAGTTTCTGTGTGCTTGCTATGGTGTCCCGGGTGGTTGTAAGGGTGTTGCTAAGCCAATGCTAGGGAGCTGCTATAGGGTGTTTTCTGTGCTTACTGGGGAGTTGATATGTGGTTGCTAGGGTGTTGCTATGCAGTTGTGAAGGTTTTTTGAGTGTTTTAAATTTTTTCTGTGTGCTTGCTTGCTATGGTGTCCCGGGTGGTTGTAAGGGTGTTGCTAAGCCAATGCTAGGTAGCTGCTATATGGTGTTTTCTGTGCTTACTGGGGAGTTGATATGTGGTTGCTAGGGTGTTGCTATGCAGTTGTGAAGGTTTTATGAGTGTTTTTATATACAGTTGCTACAGTGTTCTGTGTGGTTGTAAGGATGTTGTTATAGTATAGACAGCTAATATACAGTGTTTTCTGTGCTTACTGGGGAGTAGTTTGGTGGTTTCTAGGGTGTTGCTATGCAGTTACTAAGGTGTTTCTTAGCATGTTGCAATGTGGTTGGTATAGTGTTCTGGGTGGTTGCAAGGGTGTTGCTTGGCTGTTGCTAAATAGCTGTTATAAGGTTTTCTGTGCTGACTAGGTTGTAGGTAGGTGGTTGCTAGGGTGTTGCTATGAAGTTCTTAAGATGCTCCAAGTGTTTTAAAATTATGATATGTTGTTGCAATTGTGTTCTGGATATTTGTAAAAGTGTTGTTAGGCTGTTGCTAGGTAGTTGCTATGGGGTTTCAGTGATTACTATGGAGTTGCTAGGTTTTTTAGGGTGTTGCTATGCAGTTCTTAAGGTGCTCCAAGTGTTTTCAAATGTTGCTATGCTGTTTCTTTAATGTTCTGGGTGGTTGAACTTATGTTGCTAGACTGTTGCAAGGGTGTTTTCTGTGGAGTTGGTAGGTGGTTGCTAAGGTGTGACTATGCAGTTACTAAAGTGCTGAAGGGAGTTTTTTTTAATATTCAATTGCAGGAGTGTTCAGGGTGGTTGCTAAAGTATTGCTATGCATCTACTAAGGATTTTTCCTTACTGGCTCAAGTCAAAAGGGTCGAGGCCCACATCTCCATTCACCAGTGTTGATGTTCATGGTTTTTCCTCAGGCCCTGATGGAAGCTCACGACTGTATAGCCGAGCAGGAATCGGATGTTGAAACTATTGAAGATGTGGACCAGGATCTAAAGACCACCAAACTAGTTTCCCTGGAGAAAACTCGTGACATGCCTCTGGTAAGAGACATTCATCTACATTCATTGACATTTATAGTCTATAAGGGCAACAATGAATGTGTGTGTGTTTGTATATTTTTATATATTTATTATATACTATATATATTTGCATACTAGTTTTTTACTCTGATTTTAAACTATACATTTAAATGCAATATTCAAACCGTACGTTTGAATTCTGTTACATTGATTGTATTTAGACATTTGATTGTGTTTGTGTATGTTTAGGGTGTGACGGTTCGTAATGAACATGACTGCGTCATCATCAGCCGGGTGGTGAGTGGAGGAACAGCAGAGAAAAGCAACCTCCTCAATGAAGGAGATGAAATCTTAGAGATCAACGGTGTTTCAGTTCGTGGGAAAAGTGTTAATGATGTTCACAACATACTGGTGAGATCTAGGAGGTCCTAAACTCTTTGAAACTCCTCATAGTCTTTAACCATAATACTTTGCTGATATTGACTACCATTCAATTGTTTAATGTGTTTGAAGGAAGTCTCTTGTGCTCACCAAAAATCTTGTGAAATAATATTACAATTTAAAAATAGCTGTTTTCTATGTGAATGTATTGTAAAATCATCATTGCTCATGTCTTGAGTGTCACATGATCCTTCAGAAATCATTCTAATATGTTTTTCTTTTTCTTTGTCTCTAGTCCAGCATGCATGGCTCCCTCACATTTCTGCTCATCCCAAACTCTCAAAACAAACTCGCTCCTCACAGACCGGCTGTGGTACGACTTCATCGTTTCTTTATCTTCATTCTTTCTTTTGAGTGTGTGCTGCCTTTTCTAGGGGCCTTCTGGGATTTTTGTCTTTGACTCTGTTTGAAACCCTTCTTGCTACAATGCATTCTGGGATTGCCTTATACATGAAGTATACACTCACCTAAAGGATTATTTCTTTACAGATGCATGTGAAAGCAAACTTCAGCTATGACCCATCTGAGGACCGATACGTGCCGTGCAGAGAGCTCGGCCTGTCCTTCCAAAAGGGAGACATCCTCCACGTCACTAGCCAGGACGACCCCAACTGGTGGCAGGCGTACAGGGAAGGACATGAGGACCAGAAGCCCCTCGCTGGACTCATTCCTGGTCAGTGTCTGCTTAGGACAAGTAGTAGAGAGTTATGGGATATTACAAATAATAATGTAATTCATTGAAAAAAAAAATATTTTAAAGGCTGCATCTCATATATTTATCATATATTTGCAGTGATTTTGTGCTTATAAATTATTAAGTCATTAAGTTTAAACTCTGATGCATTGATTTCAGCATTATTTTATTATTATTTATGTATTCACTAATATTTGAATTGGTTTTTAGATTTTTTATTTATATTTTAGAATTTATGTGCTTTTGTAATTAAAAAAAAAATAATATATACAAAGCAAAGCTTCTGCTTTAATAAAACAGCTAGCTTAATAAAAACTAGCTTGCATTCTTTTTTTTATTAACACAAAGCAACATTTTAAACAAAAAGCTGAGAAAATGTCCAGGATTACATACAGATCGGATTCAGATCGAGTCCACCCCCCTCCACCCCTAAAATTACATTTTCATTTTAATTAAAATTTTAATTAAATTTTTTTTATTTTTTTTTATTTTTAAAATAAAAATAATTTTTATTTTATAAAAATATAAATAACTAAAATAAAATATTCTAGCTTGCATTCTTTTTTTATCAACACAAAGCAACATTTTAAACAAAAAGCTGAGAAAATGTCCAAGATTACATACAGATCGGATTCAGATTGAGTCCACCCCCCACCACCCCTAAAATTAAATTTTCATAAAATTTTAGTTAAATTTAAAAAAAAATTATATTTTTAAAATAAAAATATATTTTATTTTATTAAAATATAAATAACTAAAATAAAATATTCTAGCTTGCATTCTTTTTTTATCAACACAAAGCAAAATTTTAAACAAAAAGCTGAGAAAATGTCCAAGATTACATACAGATCGGATTCAGATCGAGTCCACCCCCCCCCCCCCACCCCTAAAATTACATTTTCATTTTAATTAAAATTTTAATTAAATTTTAATTTTTTTATATTTTTAAAATAAAAATAATTTTTATTTTATAAAAATATAAATAACTAAAATAAAATATTCTAGCTTGCATTCTTTTTTTATCAACACAAAGCAACATTTTAAACAAAAAGCTGAGAAAATGTCCAAGATTACATACAGATCGGATTCAGATTGAGTCCACCCCCCACCACCCCTAAAATTAAATTTTCATTTTAATTAAAATTTTAATTAAATGTAAAAAAAAAATTATATTTTTAAAATAAAAAATATTTTTTTTTTATTAAAATATAAATAACTAAAATAAAATATTCTAGCTTGCATTCTTTTTTTATCAACACAAAGCAACATTTTAAACAAAAAGCTGAGAAAATGTCCAAGATTACATACAGATCGGATTCAGATTGAGTCCACCCCCCACCACCCCTAAAATTAAATTTTGATTTTAATTAAAATTTTAATTAAATTTTAAAAATAATAATTTTAAAATAAAAATATATTTTATTTTATTAAAATATAAATAAATAAAATAAAATATTCTAGCTTGCATTCTTTTTTTATCAACACAAAGCAACATTTTAAACAAAAAGCTGAGAAAATGTCCAAGATTACATACAGATTGGATTCAGATCGAGCCCACCCCCCCACACACACACACACACACACACACCCCTAAAATTAAATTTTCATTTTAATTAAAATTTTAATTACATTTTTAAAATTTAATATTTTTAAAATAAAAATATATTTTATTAAAATATAAGTAACTAAAATAAAAAAATATAATTCATTTATAATTACAAAATTGTAAACGAATTTTGAAATATTTATTAGATATGGTTAACTATTGCCCGGTTTTAGTTTTAAACCCTATTTGTTCGTATGATTGTTTGGAGTTATTTTCATAGTCTTCTAACGAATGACTATGTGTGTTGCATGTTGTGTTCTCTCAAGGGAAGAGCTTCCAGCAGCACAGAGAAGCCATGAAGAAAACCATCACAGACAGGAATCAGGAGGATAAAGGTGAGCTGGACAATGTTTCCCTTCCAGAAATCCCTGTTAAAATGTATATCTACTCATAAACATACAGTTCATGCTTCTTTGAGTTCACAAATCCTTCAACGTTGCTGTTGAAACCGATGTGGAAAGTTTATCATTGATAAGAGTTATTCTTTCTTTAGGGAAACTTTGGTTTGCTAAGAAAAGCAAAAAGCAACGAAAGAAACCATTGTATAACCCTAATAAGAATATTGGTGAGTATGATCTTTTAATTCTTGATTGAACTGATTGTTCCTGGTCTTGCACTGTTGAAAAAAATACGTGAATATGTGTTACTTGCCATTTCTTTGTCATTATGTGTGAAATTTACGAACAATTTCAAAGTGACAATTGTTTTCAAGTAAATCCATTCTTTTTCAGTGCTTTTTTGATTGCTTATGAATGATTGCCCAACATCAAGTCCTTATTTACAGTTTGGGTGCAACTTTAGTAGCTATAGGGCATCTTCCTCACCCGTTTAACTTGGCAGAAACTGTACATTTGATGAATCTGATGGGTACGTGCTGTGAACGATTAAACACAGACGAAGCTTGTTGGTTAATTGACGGCTGTTCACAGCTGGAGGTTTCTTCTTTTGTGATTTCTTGCATGCTTCTCCACACTAAAGATGGGCCAAATGAAATAACAATGAGAGCAGTTCTCATGCCCTGGTTGCAATTTGCATTAAAAAGACAAGGAACATTTACCTTCAGCTTTTGGTATCCAGCATTTACCCTTTGTCTCATGTTGTGGACCTTCATTGTTTGGGAATGTCGGTTTTAAAGGGTTAGTTCACCCAAAAATGAAAATGATGTCATTAATGACTCGTCCCAGGCCCGTCAGACCTCCATTCATCTCAACACAGTTTGAGTTATTTTAGATTTAGTCCGAGAGCTTTCTGTCCCTCCATTGGAAATGTGTGTACGGTATGTCCAGAAAGGACATAAAGACATCATCAAAGTAGTCATGTGACATCAGTGGGTTAGTTACAGCATCGGAAATACATTTTGGTCCAAAAATAACAAAAACTACGACTTTATTCAGCATTGTTTTCTCTTCCGGTTGTGTTGTGGATCCACGTTCAGTGACGCTGCTGACGTACAGTAAGAGTTTTTGTTATTTTTGGACCAAAATGTATTTCCGATGCTTCAAAACATTGTAACTAACCCACTGATGTCACATGACTACTTTGAGGGATACAAAAAAAAGGTCTCGGACTAAATTTTAAAATTTCTTAAACTGTGTTGAGATGAACGGAGGTCTGACGGGCTTGGGACGACATGAGGGAGAGTCATAGCTTAATCTTGAGCTGATTTTAATAGACTAATGACATCTATAATTTGCAAAAAACATTTGTCATTGTTCAGAGCATTGCAGTGAGGAAATCCTGACCTATGAGGAGGTGTCACTGTACCATCAGCCGCCCGAACGCAAGCGTCCCGTCGCACTGGTTGGTCCACCGAACAGCGGACATGATGAACTGAGACAGAGACTGTTGTCCTTAGAGCCGGACCGGTTCACCGGTGCTGTTCCACGTAAGACTGCACTGTAAAAAAATATTGATGGTTTAACTTAAAAAAGTAAGTAACCTGGTTGCCTTAAAATTTTAAGTTGATTGAACTGGAAAAAGTGAGTTAATACAATGAAGGAGCGAAACTCAAAATTATATGTTATCTGAACTAAATAAATTATTTAAGTTGATTTGACAAAAGAAAAAAATGTTGTGATTACTACACTGTAAAAAAATATTGTTGGTTTAACTTAAAAAAGTAAGTAACCTGGGTTGCCTTAAAATTTTAAGTTGATTGAACTGGAAAAAGTGAGTTAATACAATGAAGTAGATTAATTTAACCATCAGAAACTCAAAATAATAAGTTATCTCAACTAAATAAATTATTATAAAGTTGATTTGACGAAAGAAAATATGCTGTGATAACAAATCTTGAAAATATTTTTTACAGTGTGTGCTTTTCTACAACCACACGTAATATGCATGTGCACGCCGTCAGCGTCTTCACAGATTCGTGTTTTTGAAGTTTACGCAGAGTTTACTGTGTATCTTATATGTGATTATGCACACGTTACAGACACCACACGAAACCCCCGCACGCATGAGCTCAACGGAAGAGAGTACAACTTTGTGTCACGACAGAGCTTTGAATGTGAACTGGCTGCTGGGAAATTCATCGAGTCGGGCGAGTTCGAACAGAACCTGTACGGCACACACACGGATTCAGTCAGACAGGTTGTCAACTCTGGAAAGATCTGTCTGCTGTGTCTGCAGCCCAGGGTAAGACTGACTGAGCAAGGGTTACTTGTTTTATCAAGTTGGTTTTCCGAATGACCTGTGATTTGAATAAAAAAAGCAAACTAGAAAGGTCAGTCAAGTAATAATAAGTAGCTAATTGACAATATGCAATAACACTGTGCAATTTACAAATCACACACCCAGCAAAATATGAAATATAGTCTAATGTACTGTATATATTTTAAAAAAGCTACATATAATCAAATCACTTTTATTTAATCAATTTAATTTATATGCACTATTATAAAAATGCATACTAAAAAGGGCATACTTTATTTATCTTAATGTTTAATTCATTTGTTGTTGTTGTTTTTTTATAATAGTTTTATTGTGACCATTATGACACAGCCACCAAGTCAAGGCAAAAGCAAGAGTCAAAACAGCATAATTACACTAAACAAAACTGCACTAAAATAATAAAAACGTTACATGGAAAAATATAAAGATTTGGTTTTGGTTCTTTTTCTTAGAATAATCAATAATAGGGTCTGCCTTTTTTTTCACGTCGCATATATGATGATCTCAGCCTTTCGTAGGCACGTCACTCACGATTGTGGTCCAATCGGATCGCTACGCAGTTGGTTGGGGGCGGGGCGTGTGCAGAAACCTCACAGAGTTTGCGCGCGTGTTCTGCAGCAACTGAACCCGGTCCGAGGAGGCACTGAGGCACTGCCTAGATTCCTCCGCCTTTTTTCTTGCTCGAAATGGCATCGCCGGAGGATGTTGGAGCGAAAAGGCAAATGTTTTATGATATCGAGTGTGTAATAGAGGATTGCGATACTGAAGTTGGATACAAGCCTCTGTCAGACAGCGATGAGCTCGACGATTCGGCAGCGGAGGAGGAACCGCGCGAAGAAGAGTAAGTAATACGTCACGTGTAGTGTTTTATTTATTTTTATTTTTACCTGTTCTAGGGTAGACAATGTGTTTTATTGCTTACTAAATAATGCATTAAGCTAGATAGAAAAAAAAAACAGTGCTTGAAAGACACCGAAGTATTTAATCATAGTGTAAAGAATAGTGTTCACTAACACTAACGTTACATATGGCGTAACGGTAACGTTACAGCAGGGGAGAAAATTAAACAAAACTTGCTAACTTTTTTCTTATTTTTTTTTTAAACAGTTGTTTATCGAACAGATTTTCTTTCTCTTTAAATGATTTTAATTATTATTTAAAATTTTTTAATCTTAAGAATAAATAAATAAAAAATCTCTCTCTGCTAATGGTGCACATTACTGTAATATTAAAGGTTACAAATGAACAGAGCCCAAAATATTCAAATTATAAGCTTTTTATTTTTAAATATTACAATCAAAACTCAAATGAAAAAACGTAATTTGCACACAAGCCAGGTTTTGTATTAACTTGCCTAAATTTAATTAGAACATTATTTTTCTACTCCAATTTATTTTTTGAAATATAACAATATACACAGTGTTATCATAACTTGTTTTCATGACACATTTATTGAAACATATATTAAATAATTAAGACATTACTAACAGGTAAAGTTAATATAACGAATATATAAGCTACTATAATGCATATATTTAGTGAAATGCTCCCCTCAGGAGTTCATTTCTCTAGTGAACTAACATGCTGTGGAGTCGGACATGACTTGCCTGAGGTACATGAAATTAACGGTATACATTAATTGATTGTCTTTTTCATCTGGGAAAATAGCCAAAATCAAAATAAAGTGATCTTGCATTCAGGGGCATATCCATATTTTTTTGTTTAATAAAATTCTCTCTTCAATAAGAATGCCCAGTCCTCTAAATATTGAAAATAGTTGTTCATGGCTGACATAAAATAAAAGCTACATAAGGGATTTGCCCATCGATGTGTCCCACCCCAAATTCTTGTTCCAATAGGAAATATGTCGATATATAAACTGTAATTTTCAGATATATTCTTATAGATGGGAAAAAACATAATGATTATGTGTGCCCAAAAAGGTCTATAATACATGGTGCAAGCAGTCAGTTTCTCCATTATTACAGTCTTTAAGATGGATCTGACATTGGGAAAACATTGTTGCTATGCAACAAAAATAGCAATCTGCAGTGGGAGCTGTGCATGCAAAAAATACACATCTGGTTTTGAATGGCAGTCAATGGGAAAAGATGCTCTTGTTAACAATCTTTGACCCTTTTCTTCAATATTCTTCTTATAAAAGAGTTTGTTTGTTTTTTTGGACTAGACTCAAAATATTGCCATATTATGGCAAAAATAAAATTGATTTTTTTCTGATAAAAATTGTGATTGTGATTTTAAAAGGTTTTGCTGTAGGGCAGCATAATTTGTTTTTGTAATTTATCTCTCAATATGACTATAAAGTAATAATAATAATTATTATTATTATTTGTAATTGTACTACTATTAAATAAAAATAACAAACAATAAATGTTACTGTTGTAATGCTTCAGTGATTGATTCATTCAAACTCCTAATCGTTTCAGAAACAAAGCATTTGACTTTCTTATTGTGTGAGTCATTGAATCATTCATTCAGCTGATTCATTCAAACGGACTGATTCATTCAAAAAAAAAAAGAAAAGTCTTGCTAGCGTTTTCGTTTTGAGCCGATTTGTTCCCTTGGTTTTATGTTTTCTGTTGCCTGAAGTACAATGAACCTTTTTAATGTGATATAACTATTATAATTAATTGGTAATCACTATATTAATTGTATTTATTATATGTTACAGTATTGGTTCCTCTGAAGAATGGGAGCCTCTCATACGTTCAAAACTAAAGAGGAGCGCATCCTCCTCGCCTTCGCCATCCTTACCACGACGAAGAGGACGACCACCTAAAAATGCTTTGAGGCCTTCCCCGACGGCACCAGTGATGGACATTACACCTAAACCTAAACCAGCTTTCTCTTTACCTCGACGGAGAGGCCGACCCCCTAAAGACAAATCTAAAATCAAACTCTTTTCTAATCCCTCTTCGTTTGCCACGATAGTCCCCAAACCCCCACCGTTTGCCACACTGATCCCTAATTCTGCATCCGGCATTCAATTCGGCCCTAATTCTACATCCACGTTTACACTGGGCTCTAATTTCACTCCTATTAAACTGAGCCCTAATTCTACGCCCATACTCATCCCCAATGCCACATCCACTTTTAATCTCAGCCCGAACTCCTCATCCGCTTCGAATCCGACACCGATAGCCACACTCGTCTGTACACCCACATCAACGGGGCTGCGGTTGGATGGGGACGCCAACGACATCAAGACGGTGAAGGAAGAGAAGTGAGTAAACATTCTTTTGATTTACAGGTGTAATGGGACTAAAAGGGTGTAACAATATATCCTGCCACAATATCGCAATACAAAAATGCAACAATGCGTATCGGACATAGGGACAATGTGTATTATGCAATATGATTTCCGCGAATTGTCAAATTAACACGGAATCTAGTGTTAACTCGGAATTTCCTGGAATTTGACATATTTGAAGCTCTGTTTTTGTGTGGGAGAAGAACGCATGTCTGGTGAAAATATAGACCGGGGGAAGCAAATCTGGGCGACACCCCGTCATTTCAGCTCCAATGACGAAATCAAAACAATGAAAGCCTGGCGAAGCGGCTCTTCGGCTCTGCTTTCGTTGGCAAAAAAGTTAAAGGATTAGTTCACTTTTCCAAAAACTTTTGCTGATAATTTACTCACCCCCATGTCATCCAAGATGTCCATGTCTTTCTTTCTTCAGTCGAAAAGAAATTAAGGTTTTTAATGAAAACGTTCCAGGATTTTTCTCCATATAATGGACTTCAATGGGAACCAGACAGTTCAAGTTCCAAAAGAAACTTTCAGTACAAACTGCAAACTTGTTCAAACGGCTTTAAACGATTCCAGACAATAAATAAGGGTCTTATCAAGCGAAACGATTGCTAATTTTTTTTTAAAATAACAAAGTTTAAGTTTTATAAGATCAAACGCTCGCCTGTGGTGCACGTTCGTGACTCTCCTGTTCGAACTCGTTCAACAAAATGAACAAATCTTTTTCCGAATCAATTCGTTCGTTTCTTTCGCCGAATAAACCAAATGACTCGGGAAAAGATTTGTTCATTTTGATGAACGAGTTCGAACAGGAATGCATTACAGAACAGAGCAAGGCGAGCGTTTGAGCTTATAAAACTTAAACTTTGTTAATTATTTATAAAACAAGTGATCGTTTCGCTTGATAAGACCCTTATTCATCGTCTGGAATCGTTTAAAGCCCTTTGAACAAGTTTGCAGTTTGTACTTAAAGTTTCTTTTTGACCTTGAACCGTTTGGTTCCCATTGAAGTCCATTATATGGAGAAAATCCTGGAATGTTTTCATCAAAAACCTTAATTTCTTTTCGACTGAAGAAAGAAAGACATGGACATCTTGGATGACATGGGGGTGAGGAAATTATCAGCAAAAGTTTTTTGAAAAGTGAACTAATCCTTTAGGTGTTTCCCACACATTGACTAATTCGCGGGCACAAAATCAACTCTGGCCGCAACATATTGCGTTTCATTCATTTTTTAACACTATTTAAAACACGCAGCGTATTCTTTCCCTGCTCTTCCTCCGTCTCTCTCTCACACACACACCTTGTCGGTCTACGAGGCGCCGGACTGGAAAAAAGCGAAGCGAACTCCGTGAGCGACACTGGGCTAGAGAGAGACAGAGTGTGACTTTATTTAAACTTATATAAACTAATCTGATTTATTTTAATGCACAGTTTAAATCTCATTACCATATTTTGTTGTTATGTTGCATCATTTTATTTATTTATTTTATTTGCGGTATTTGTCCTGAAAAGGCTACTCAGTAAATGTCTGTTACCTCAATAAATTTAAAGGAGTAGTTCACTTTAAAAAAAAACAAAAAAACTTCTGCTGATAATTTACTCACCCCCATGTCATCCAAGATGTCCATGTTTTTCTTTCTTCAGTCGAAAAGCAATTAAGGTTTTTGATGAAAACATTCCAGGATTTTTCTCCATATAATGGACTTTAATGGGGTCCAAACGGTTCAAGGTCCAAATGCATGTTTCAGTGCAGCTTCAACGGGCTTTAAACAATTCAGACGATGAATAAGGGTCTTATCAAGCGAAACGATCGCTCATTTAATAAATAAATAACAAATTTAAGTTTTATAAGCTCAAACACTCGCCTTGCTCTGTTCTGTGATGCGCGTTCGTGACTCTCCTGTTCGAACACGTTCATCAAAATGAACGAATCTTTTGTCGAGTGATTTGGTTGATTCAATGAACGAAATGACTCGAAAAAAGATTTGTTCATTTTGATGAAGGGAGATTCCATGCAGATGTCAACCTAAAGCGAGCGAGAGAAATATGAGACATGCCTTTCGTGATGACGACTCGCTTTCTTTCCCGCGCACGCCCTCCGTGGTCAGGAAGAGCAGTTATTTCTGTGGTGATCTGCGATTTCTGGACAAAATCTACTTTATTTGGAGTAATTGTCATTGGTAAGTAATTTTATATCTATGTGTACATTTTAATTTAGAGAAAACTGTATAAATGATAAATGTAGATATATAAAACACACTGGCCATGGAATAAAAAATCATTACAAATTATTGCAAATTATCAGTGTGAATAACAGTAATTATTAATACAACAAACGAATAATAACTAATAAATACAATAACAAACAAAAAAACATCAATAAAACGTATTTATAATATACTTATATATCTCATCCTACAGCACAATGGCCAAAACTAATGCTGAAAGACAACGTACATTCAGAGAGAAAAAGAGGAATAATGAACATTTCAAGGAAAAGGAAAGGATAAGGAAAAAAGCAGAAAGACTAAGAAAGAAAGAAACACAATCAAAACAAGAGGCAGAAAAAGTTAGGGAGCTTGCGAGATGGAGACAGAGGAAAAGGCGTTTTCTGATGAAGTCACAGGTACCCCACAAGGAGTCCCCACAAAGAAAACAAATTAAGGTGACCTGGCACACATGAGAAGCAACAGGAGGGCCGCCGAATAAGAAATCCAGAGGATTTCATGAAGACAGCAGCTACACAATTTCTGCATCACTGTTTTGTGAAGAGAAAGCAAAGGCCAAAAGAATGCAGTCAAAAACAGACAAGAAAACTGTGGTGCTGGAAGAGGTCCAAGATCAGATCCAGTCAGCATACTGGCATCAGAAGCAGTCCATAGTGTTGCCCTCCGCTCTGTGGTCTAACGGAGAACCAGAGTCATATGCCATAGTGAGTGACAGCTCAGAGCATGACAAGAGGTCTGTGCTTGACATTCAAGAGACATATCCTGCTATGAGAGTAGGGCTGTGAAACCATTAATCGCATCCAAAAACAAAGTTTTTGTTTACATAATATATGTGTGTGTAATGTACAATGTGCAAAATATACACATGCATATGTGTGTATTTATACTGTATATGCAAATGAATTTGTATATATAAATACACACATATGCATGTGTATATTTAAGAAAAATGTGTTATTAATATATCAAATATTTATATTTATGTATAATATTAATTTTTGTATAAATTAGGGCTGTCAAACGCTTAATCGCTTCCAAAAACAAAGTTTGTGTTTACATAATATATGTGGGTGCACTGTGTATAATTTATTTTGTGTATATATAAATACACACACATGCATGTATATTTAAGAAAAATGTGTTATTAATATATCACATATTTATATTTATGTATAATATTAATTTTTGTATAAATTAGGGCTGTCAAACGCTTAATCACATCCAAAAACAAAGTTTGTGTTTACATAATATATGTGGGTGCACTGTGTATAATTTATTTTGTATATATATATATATATATATATATATATATAAATACACACACATGCATGTATACTTAAGAAAAAAATATTATTTATACATAAAACATTTATATTTATATATAATATAAATTGTATATAAATCTATATACATGGAAATATTTCTTAAATATATACATGCATGTGTGTTTATATATATATATATATATATATAAAATAATTATACACAGTGCACCCAAAAGATTCGGTCTGCAATTAATTTAATTATTGATTTTATTATCTTAAATTTATAATGATTCATGTTCATAAGTGATAAATACTGTATGCTTACATTTTCTGTTTTTGTTGCAACAGAATGTTCAGTGATCTTCAGTTGTAAGACCTGTAGTTAAAGTTTGCAATTGTTTATGTTCACAGTAAATGAAAATATTGTACACTTTATGCTCACCTTTTTTGGACGTCTCTTTCACACAGATCGCCTTGATCCTCTTGACATCCGAACAATAATAAAATTTGCAATCATACATCGGGCCTACTGAAATTAATGAAAGTAATCATTGTGATTTTTTTACTTAAATTGTTCTTACAATGCATTGCCTAATATTGCAACAATGTGACTATTTTGAAGCATTCAACAACGCAAAATGGGTATAAACATTGCGATCATTTTGACATAACATAATATTAGTGAGGGGAAACCGGCGATCTCGACTCCGGAGAATATATCAATATGATAAAAATACAAAATAGCTGCTGATGGAATTCCATATCTTTCGGGGTCTATAGTAAACACCATGTTATCAAGCAATATCATGCCCAAATCGAGCCCGCGCTGGTTGAATTGTAGCAGCATGAGAGATACGCGTGAACGAAGGCTAATCTATAACAATGTGATTTCAGTTTAAAATAGATTAATTGTGCATACTTACCTTACTGATGTCTCAGTTCAATCAATTCAATGAACACTTATGTCTCAAAAATCAAACAGGATTTTTTCACAAAAGTGACAGCCCTAAATCCTATTCGGCAAGGATGCATTAACTTGACAACAAAGACAGTTATAATGTTGCAGAAGATTTATGTCTATTAAATCCTGTTGTTTTGAACATCAAGGAATCCTGAACATAAATGCATCACAGTTGCAGGAATAAATTACATTTTAAAATATTTTAAGTAACATTTTAATAAAAATTCACAAGATTTTTGACCAAATAAATGCATGCTTTTTCTTTTAAAAACATTCTTTTTTTTTTTAATCTACTTCCAAACTTGTGTTGCAGTGTGGATGCTCGTGAAGAATGGCCAGTTCCACAGGAAGAAAGCCTTGAGTTTTCAGAAGCACCGAATGCAAAGAGACATCGACTCTTATCCACATTCCCTTCCGCCGCCATGACACAACAGACTAGCCCTAGTCCTCTGACTGACCTTGCACCCAGTGCCACTTCTGATCATGCAACCACTTCTCAAATGATCACTAAACTCAGCTTTCAACCCATTCCCACAAGCACTGGTGAACCATTGACCTCTATACCCATCCCACAACATGAACCCACCCCTAGTCCTGCACCCATCCGGCCTCGGGTCGACAGCGACATCAACAGTGACCATGATGTTGTCTTTCACGACAGCGATGGGATCAGTGATTCAGAAAGGGAAGAGGATCTGTGGGAGGAAGAGTAAGTAAGGAAGTCTTGCATTTTTTGTAATTTTATGTAATTATGATTTACTTACTCTTTTCAAAACCTGGAGGGCATACTTCTGGGGGTTCAGCAGAATGTAACGCTGAACAAAAGATTTCAAGATATGTTTTTTGTCCTTGCATGATTGCATTAAATGTTTTGCCCACCACAATAAAAACTACAGAGATTTGATCATAAAACTTAACATATCATCTTACTAAGCCTCAGTGTGTGTTGTTCCCTTTTAAGTATGAGCTTCATATTCTCTCCTTTGAGCCATAAAAGCTTGATGAATCAACAAACATGCAAATTTATTTTAAATTTTTATTTTTATATATTTTTTTAATAAACTTCCATTTAAAAAAAGTGCACTATTATTTCACAGGGCTCAACATTAAGTGCTTGTAAAGTGGTGTTTTTATTTATTTTTATTAATTTAAATTGAATCAATATTCTCATCAGTGTTATTTCAGCTTTTACATACTTAAATCTGCTGTTTTTTTAATATTTAACCCCAGGGTGTGCGTGTGTGTCATCTTTCATTTTAAGGTCTTAATCAATGAATTAAATGATAAGGTGATAATAAGATGCTATTGGGCGTATTTAAACTGCAAAAGTACAACCGCAATAAATAATGTTATGAGCCAACATTTTTGTAAGAAATTTTGAAATGATACTTTTAAACATGAAACTAACCCAGTAGGTCATTTAATAAGTGAGTCATTCATTCAACCGATTCATTCAAAAGGCTGAATCATTCAGTAACAAATCTCCGCTGTTGCGTTGAGAATGCGCAATAGTTCTGCTGTGGTCTTTGTTAAAAACTTTTCATTTGTGAAATAAAACCAGTCAAGATTCTATCTAAAATGCAAGTGACTTAATATTTACTTGTTTATTCAACTATGAAATCAGTGTAACTGTTGCAGTCGTGATAATATTGACAAATATAGAAAAATAATAGAAGAACAACTGTTAGAATGCATAATATATAAGATCATTTTATTTACATTATGTATCTAAAAAAGTGCCTGCAGAGGGCGCCAACGGCCTGATGTTGTTACACTTTTACAGCAGATAAAATCTTTGTTTAATATTTGCCAAATAACGTTTAATCCAAATGTTTACTTGGACACATCTCTACGAGATTTCTTGAACAAGAAAATGTGGGCATCAAAACACTCAAAGCGAGGGACTTTTATTTTGAAATTTCAATGAACATTTCTCAAATTGAGAAACATAATGATGTATTCTCTGAAAAGGAAGTTTTAATCAAGCTAATTTTTCAGTCGGTACAAGCAGACAAGCGTAATGTCGAGCCCTGTATTATATGTCCAGCTTTACAGTGTTGTAACAAGTGTGTGGGTCCATGCACATGTCATGGATTTGTTTTGTGTTAACAGTGTTGATTCTGAGGAGGATTGGAACCTTCTACTGGAAAGTTCACCTGCTCAATCACAACGGAGATGCGAATCCCCTACACCTACCTCACCACGAGGCAAACTCACTGTTTCCCCTCCCGAATCATCTCCTGAAGCCACAGCCACCACTGAACCCACCATTAAACCTGCCCCTGAAGCCACTTCCACAACCCTTAATAATTCCACTCTTGAAGCCACACCAATCCCTTGTCCATTACCAACCTTACCGCGACGGAGAGGCCGGCCTCGTAAGCATCCTTTAAAACCCACCCTCACACCTGAACCTACCTCTACACCGGCTGCTGATTCGACTCCCAAAGCCATCTCTGATCCCACCCTAACGTCAAGTTTGGAGCCCGCGTTCTCCACCAACTCCAAACCCAATCCAGATCCCGCATCTACCTCTGAAGTTATCCCTCAACCGACTTCTTCAGAGAGATTAAAGCCTGCTGCAACTTCTTCACCAAGTCAAATAGAAAATTACAGTGAGCCAGATAAGTGGCTTGACATCAACGATGAGGATGAGGAACCGGTACTACCGGATTTCTCCCCTAAGCGTCCTCCAGGTCCGCAGCTCATGACGGACTCAACGTACACACCCTTACAGTTGTTCCAATTGTTTTTCACCAGATCTACCATCAAGACAATCGTCAAAAACACCAATAGCAATGCCGAAAAGAGGGAACAAGCTGGAAAGAAGCTAGAAAGTACCACCTGGGTACCTCTAACCATAGCCGAGTTTTACTCATATTTGGCGTTAGTAGTCTACATGGGTCTAGTGAAACTGAAGTCTTTTGCGGACTACTGGGCTCAAAAGCAAATGTACAATTTCCCCTACCCACAATCCGTCATGCCCCAAGCAAGGTTTCAAGCCATCTCCTTGAATCTTCACCTTTGTGATCTTCAGGAAGATGAGGAGAACAACAAAAAGAAAGGCACCCCAGGTTATGACAGACTGTTTAAAATCAAGCCCCTTTATACAGACCTTCTTTCAGCGTGTAAGAAACACTTTCACCCCAACAGAGAGATTTCGGTGGATGAGAGAATTGTCGCTGCCAAAGCAAGGCTAGGACTAAAGCGACGTATGAATGACAAAACAACTAAATGGGGTTACAAACTCTTCATTCTAGCCGATTCGTTGTGCGGTTACACCTGGAATTTCTTCGTGTATGAAGGAAAGACGTCTACGTCATCTAGTAAAGGTGTCGGGTACGATTCGGTAATGAGACTCCTCGATCACAAAGACCTCGGCAAAGGTTATAGGTTATACACAGACAGTTTCTACACCACCCCGACTCTTGTCTTGGATTTGTTGCAGAACAGTATTCTCGCTTGTGGCACTTTGCGTCAAACCTCAAGTTTACCGGAGACCAACGACCTAAGCGAAAGATCTGAAAGAGGATCCATCCGCTGGTGTCGACAAGGTCCTCTTCTGTTTGTCAAATGGATGGACATGAGAGAAGTCCTCATGTGTTCAACAATTCACAAGGCTTTCTCGGAGGATACAGTCCCCAGAAACGCCAAGGGTGTCGATGGGGTGTGGAAACCACGTCCAATCCCTGTTCCCTCTGCTGTGAAGGACTACAGCAAATATATGGGAGGTGTTGATCTCTCGGATTGCCTTTTAGAGTATTATAATGTCCTCCACAAGTCCACAAATTGGTACAAGGCCTTCTTCTTCCATTTTCTCGACATCGCAGTGGTCAATAGTTTCATCCTCCACCAAAATTTGGCGAAAGCGAAGATCAAGACCCCTCTCACCCATAAATTGTTCAGGGAAGCACTTGTGTCAGAGTTGGCAAGTGTTGGCCGAGGGAAAGGTCCCCGGACATCTGCATCCAAAGAGTCCAAAAGAAAGTCGGCATATGTGCCTTCCAGCCCTGTCGAATCGAACATCTACTCGCCATCAGACACAGAGTCGCCTCCCTCGCCCGCACAGACGGAGCAATGCTATCCGGAGTATTTCGGTCCAGATGCTTCGTATGGGAGGAAATTATGCGCCATGTGCAAAGTACAAGGAAGTAAAGTCAAGACTCCCATTTACTGCTCCCACTGCAAGGTGGCATTGTGCTTCGTTTCGTCACGTAATTGCTTCAGGAAATGGCACATAGAGGGACATGAGGAAGATTCGTAGACATGTTGCATGTTTGGTGTTTTTTTAGCCTTTAATGACCATTTTGTATGAACTTGTTACTTGTATAGGTATGACTGTATTAAATACAACTAAAGCGATATAGTCTCTTGTTTTTCTTGTTGTAGCCTATTTATTATACAGTGCATGCATGGGCACTGCTAAAATCCAATGTTCATTTTCAAAAGAAATGTTTACTAGTATTTAAAGACCAAGAGTCTTTTTGTACATTAAAATACCTTCTCGGATCACTGTTCAATGTGCTTGATTATAAGTTGCTATACGTTTATTTTTATATTTTTAATTTTAATTTTAAAGTTTTAATAATTTAGTTTACGTTTGTCTGTATAGATATTTTTATTTTTTTAGTTTAAACAAAAGTGAGAAATGCCTTGGCAACTAGATAAAATGTGTAGTTGATAATGATAGAACGTTTCCATTTACGTGATTTCAGTTTTGGTTTACTATAATAAAAGTTTAAATTGATCACTATTTTTGCAGTTCTGTTTGACGTTAGTGGCACAAAAATTACAAACTTTGGCTTTAATAAGAATTATTATGTACTGTTTGTTTTGCCATTGAAGATTCATCATCATGAACAGTTCATTTTGTACTTTTACCGTTTTAATTCCCAATTAGCTTTAGGTAAAGCACACGTTATTGCAGACTGATCTCATAAAATGGCGTGCTATGAATTTGCCGTGCTATCAACACGCATAATCGCTTTTCAGGGTGTTTATAAAACGCCGTTGACTTAACGTTACATTACTGTATATAAATATGTGACCTACCCCAACCCCGTCCCTAAACCTACCCGTCACTGGTGTTAATAGCATTTATGAGTTTTCCCCTACCATCCTAGGAAAAAAAATATCGCTCCCCAGATGTAGATCGACATTTTGCTTCGTTTCGCTCGGACATTTAATGGCGTAACATAGGCTACACGCGGAAATATAATCGCAAAATATGACGGTACGTTTCGGCATGGACATCCACGCGGATAGCTCAAAATGTGTATAGAAAACGTGTATGTTTTACGCAAAGTCATGTATTATGACATTGCTCGTAAATTTTAAGTGTCATTGGTTTTTGTTTGTTGATTTAAGTCAAATTTGTGCGCTCATTCCAAAACTTTTTTGATCTCCAAACTTCAAAAATCAATAGGCTTTATGCCGTGCGTCACGTGACTAACCCGGAAAACGGGTCTCATCGCATCCGCTTGTCAGAGAAAGTGAAGAACTGACTACGATATCTATGGATATTTAAGGTAATCAGCTAACCTAACTAGTTCACTTTGTTATTGGCGTTTTATTCCATTTAAATATCTAAACGTTGCTGTGAAGAATAAAAAATATAAAACGTTTAAATATCAATCTGCACATGTGAGGGATATTGTTTATGCTAATCTTTGCTCGCTCCTTTTAAGTTATCTTGAGTAAAACCGCAAAAAAATTCATGAAGCACATACAAAAGACCTGGACCGGAAGCGATGCGACCTGTTTTACAGAGAATGCGGAAGTAAGTTGTGCATAAAGCCTATTGGTGGGGTTTGGTCTTATTTAGTTCTCTGTAAAATAATTATGGTTTGGAAATGCTTTAGGAAAACCTGCCAGGTAGGTATTTTCACAACCTTGATTTATAACTCTGTATATAATTGACAATGAGTTAAAGGGATAGTTCACCTAAAAATTTTAATTAATTAATTAATCATTAATTACTGACCCTCTTGTCGTTCCAAACCCGTAAGACTTTCGTTCATCTTCATCATCATAAAATTTCATCTTTATGATGAAATCTGAGTTTTCTGTCCCTCCATTGACAGTTACCCAACTACCACTTTGACACTTCAGAAAGTTTACGATGAGATCGTAGAACTAATCCACATGAATTGAGCGATTTAGTCTAAATGGTCTGAAGAGACATGATTGCTTTATATAATGAACAGATTTAGTCTTTTATTCACATATAAATATTGATCAGCGAACACGAACAGAATGTGTTCGCTGAGAATGAATCTCATTGGTTCTCACACGTCAAGCGAAGTTTAAAAAACCACAAGCAGGTTATAGCTGGTATGTTCTATGTCATAGATCAAAACGTGAAAATTTTTAGAGGCTTTGTTAACCACAGACCTTATTTCAGGCGATTTAGCAAAAACCCATTCAAAAATCCCATAGACTTTAGTGCGAGGGAACCGGAAGTCCTAAGATGCTAATCATTTCCGCGTTTTGGCCTACAAAGTGACGTCATAACTTCGGCACTCTATTGGGTCTTATCTAGCAAAATGATCGGTCATTTAAAAAAAAAAAATTAAATGTATATACTTTTTAACCACAATTGTTTGTCTTGTGCTGGTCTGTGACGCGCCAGGCATTACGGCATTACGTTGGAAAGGTCACGCTGGACGTAGGCGGAAGTACCGCCCCATTGTTTTAAACATCCAGGATACACACAGGAAAGGACCATTTTAAACAATAAACTGACAGAAAGACATAAATATGTCATTCAACACAATAAAATTCCTTCTCCACGCTTGTAAACAATGGGTTAGTACTTCCGCCTACGTCCAGCGTGACCTTTCCATTACGTAATGCAGACCAGCACAAGGTGAACAATGAGGTATCCCTTTAATAACCTGCAAAAAAATATGGATTTTATATAGTGATGGATTTTTCAAGTTGTTGAGGCACAACATTATTTTTGTTGAAGATTTTTATTGCCATCTTAAACTATAGTAACCATTACAATATATTGAGCACATTTTCATTATTTAGTCCATCATCTTTATTTGTCTTGTTTTGTTCTCTTTTTTACATTTAATTTGTTTGTTTTATCTTTCATAGTCCCTGCGAGCGCTATGTTCCTTCGATCTTAAACCCTACATCATCTTCATCAGGCCGTCTCCTCCTCTTCCTCAGGAGCGATTCTCTTCCCTGCTGGCCAGAGGAGTAAAGAAACACATGGTCTTCATGTTAAACATTTTTTTCCAGATCATTTACACTAGCAGTCTAACGTTTGACACATCTACTCAATCTTAATAATCTCGTCATAAAACTAAAAGTGATGCCATCTTTCGTTTCTCAAAGAAACTTTCAGTGATCACTACTTTCAGTGATCAGAGAAACTCAAAATTTCGACCCGAAAAAACTAAAAGGGGTAACACTGTCGGGTTTTTTTTCGGGGGGGCGAAATTTTGAGTTTCTCCAATCTTCTCAAAACTCTGGATTCTGATAGAGGGCCATGAGACTTAGACCTGAGTGGATGTCTCTAGAAAATGGAGTCTCTAGACCAGGGGCGGTTCTACAGGGGGGCAAGGGGGGGCAGGTGCCCCCCCACTCTAGAGCCTTGCCCCCCCAGCTGCCCCCCTAACTTTGATGATCCAAAAAAATGTACTTGTAAAAATAACCTGCCACTCCACACGCTTCTCAAAATAGTGAAATAAACAATACATTTACCAAAAGTGAACAATTTAATTTTGTCATTTTAAATGTAGCCTATTATTAGCCCCTCCCCCTGATTCAACGTGCAGCAGAGCGGCGTTCGCTCAGTCTGGCTCTCTCACGCACTCACACACACAGCGAGTCTGCTGTGGGGCGGTGGAGTGGCCCTGCAACCCGACTGGAGAGACTGAGCTGCCCCAGAGCCTCTGAAGGTGAAGTGAGTTTCCCCAGGTGTAGTTTAAACACACGTTTAACTTAGTTACATTTGTAATGAATGTATTGTATGCTAAAGACGATTCAGGATCAGCAAAAACAGCGAGTCTATTACATTAGCCAAAATCATCGGTCAAATCGCTCCCTCGTGATCTTTAAGAGCACTCTTCCCTTTGATTATCTAATTTCGATTTTAGTAAAGACAAGAACAGCTTAATAAAATATAAAATATTGTTTGTATCCATAACGTTAACTGATGATCTCCGCTGTTACGTTACAACACACATCGCCAGTTAGGAGAACGATCATTTGATTCGCTTTTCGGTTGCGCGCCTAAATGGCCAAATGAATACATAAATATATCAAAATGCCAAGTCGAGTATTCACGTAAACACAGTAGAAGTAGCTACTGTGTAACTGTAAGTAGGCTACTGTAAGTATGAGAAACTATGCTCAGTTGATAACTCACCTCATTGTGAAAGCCCTTCACAATTAATATTGAAACATTGTTTGCTAAATATTTGTTTGTTTTTAGTTGTCTATGGACCTAATAATTAGCCTAATACTGTTGAAATTTCATTGAAAAAAGCATGTCTTTAATAATATTATTATATACACTACTAAGATTTTTTATGTTTTTAAAAGAAGTCTCTTGGGCTCACCAAGGCTGCAATTATTTGATAAAAAATACAAAAAAAACAGTAATATTGTGAAAAATATTATTACAATTTAAAACAGCAGTTTTCTATGTGAATATATAGTGAAGTGTAATTTATTCCTGTGTTCAAAGCTGAATTTACAGCATCAGTCTGCAGTGTCACATTATAATATGATGCTCAAGAAACATTTATGATTATTATCCATGTTGAAAACTGTTTTTTACATTTTTATTTCAGGATTCTTTGATGAATAGAAAGTTCAAAAGAACAGAATTGATCTGAAATGGAAAGCTTTTGTAACATTAATCTCAAAGTTTGGGGTCAGTAAGAATTTATTTTTTATTTTTAGGGGAAAGAAATTAGAAAATGCTTTTTCTTGAGCATAAAATCAGCATATTAGAATGATTTCTGAAGGATCATGTGACCCTGAAAACGGATGTGTAATCAGCAACAGTAATGATGTTAAAAATTCAACTTTCAAATTACATTTTAAAATATATTAAAATAGAAAACAGATATTTTAAATCGTCATAATATTTCACAATATTACTGTTTGTCTTTTTTTTTTTCATCAAATTAAGCAGCCTTGGTGAGCAGAAGAAACTTCATTTAAAAACATAAAAAAATCTTACTGATCTAAAACTTTTGACCAGTAGTGTGTATCTTTTACTGAGGCTCTTTTGAAACAATGCATTAACCATAAATAATAAAAAAAAATGGTACCTGACCTCAGTCAAGCAGTTCTATAAATCCAATTCCTCTCAGATATCAATCAATGAAACCAGGTTATAACTGGGGAAATAACAAATACAATAGGATTAAGTAGTCTAAACATACAGTAACTGGTGTGTGCATGTGATAAATCTTTAGGGCCCGAGCACCGGGACCCTCTTGGAATTGCTCTGTTTATTATTATTATTATTATTCTCCAAGATGAATCGTACTTTTGAGGCCTAATTCTGATTTTATATTTGTTGTAAGCTACTTAGTAGCTACATGGCCCTACAGTGTAATGTAAGGATAACCAGAGATTTCACATATTGACTTTTGCATGGGAGTAGTTGAAGAAAGTAGCTGGAGCCTAACCATGAAAAGGAAGGCTAAAAGTGGGGATATTGCCAGCTTTTTTGTGAAAAAAAAAAAAAAAAATCAAAACTAGTACACAGGAGGAAGAGCGTGAGGGAAATGAAAGGCAGTAAACTGGAGAGACCAGGAGGGTCATTTGTGGACTGTAATTATACCTTTTTAATTATAATAAGAACTGGAGTATTGTCCGCTGTTTTATACCTGTCCTCTGCATCTTGGACGCAAATATTGTACTTTTTAAAATAAATTTTCATTTAGCTTTTTATACTTTTACTTTTTTTAAATGCACAATTTTGTTTGAACACTGCACTGGGCTTATTCTTGTTGTGAATTTAAAACCTTTGTAGTGTGTAAGGACACGATTAAACAATATCTAATATACTTTAAAAGTGTTTTTATGTTTGTTTTGTTAAAGCAATTCACATATAGGGATTGCCATACCGTCTACCCCTGCCACCCTGCCAAGACCTCTTGCCACCCCTTTGCCCCCCCATGTAAAATTTTCTAGATCCGCCACTGCTCTAGACCCTTCCTGATATCGAAACTCAAAATTTCGACCAGAAAAAAAAAAACGACAGTGTTACCCCTTTCGGTTTTTTTTTCATTTTCGGGCGAAAAATTAAGTTTCTCCAATCTTCTCAAAACTCTGGATTATGATAGAGGGCTGTGAGACTTTGACCTGAGTGCAAAAATGGAGGCTCTAGACCCTTCCAGAGCTGAGATATCGAAACTCAAAATTTCGACCCGAAAAAAAAACGACAGTGTTACCCCTTACGTTTTTTTTCGTTTTCGGGCGAAAAATTAAGTTTCTCCAATCTTCTCAATACTCTGGATTATGATAGAGGGCCACGAGACTTTGACCTGAGTGCAAAAATGGAGGCTCTAGACCCTTCCAGAGCTGAGATATCAAAATTCAAAATTTCGACCGGAAAAAAAAACGACAGTGTTACCCCTTTCGTTTTTTTTCATTTTCGGGCGAAAAATTAAGTTTCTCCAATCTTCTCAAAACTCTGGATTATGATAGAGGGCTGTGAGACTTTGACCTGAGCGCAAAAATGGAGGCTCTAGACCCTTCCAGAGCTGAGATATCAAAATTCAAAATTTCGACCCGAAAAAAAAAACGACAGTGTTACCCCTTTCGTTTTTTTTCATTTTCGGGCAAAAAATTAAGTTTCTCCAATCTTCTCAAAACTCTGGATTATGATAGAGGGCTGTGAGACTTTGACCTGAGCGCAAAAATGGAGGCTCTAGACCCTTCCAGAGCTGAGATATCAAAATTCAAATTTTCGACCCGAAAAAAAAAACGACAGTGTTACCCCTTTCGTTTTTTTTCATTTTCGGGCGAAAAATTAAGTTTCTCCAATCTTCTCAAAACTCTGGATTATGATAGAGGGCTGTGAGACTTTGACCTGAGCGCAAAAATGGAGGCTCTAGACCCTTCCAGAGCTGAGATATCAAAATTCAAATTTTCGACCCGAAAAAAAAACGACAGTGTTACCCCTTTTGTTTTTTTCATTTTCGGGCGAAAAATTAAGTTTCTCCAATCTTCTCAAAACTCTGGATTATGATAGAGGGCCACGAGACTTTGACCTGAGTGCAAAAATGGAGGCTCTAGACCCTTCCAGAGCTGAGATATCAAAATTCAAAATTTCGACCCGAAAAAAAAAACGACAGTGTTACCCCTTTCGTTTTTTTTCATTTTCGGGCGAAAAATTAAGTTTCTCCAATCTTCTCAAAACTCTGGATTATGATAGAGGGCTGTGAGACTTTGACCTGAGTGCAAAAATGGAGGCTCTAGACCCTTCCAGAGCTGAGATATCAAAATTCAAAATTTCGACCCGAAAAAAAAAACGACAGTGTTACCCCTTTCGTTTTTTTTTCATTTTCGGGCGAAAAATTAAGTTTCTCCAATCTTCTCAAAACTCTGGATTATGATAGAGGGCTGTGAGACTTTGACCTGAGTGCAAAAATGGAGGCTCTAGACCCTTCCAGAGCTGAGATATCAAAATTCAAAATTTCGACCCGAAAAAAAAAACGACAGTGTTACCCCTTTCGTTTTTTTTCATTTTCGGGCGAAAAATTAAGTTTCTCCAATCTTCTCAAAACTCTGGATTATGATAGAGGGCCACGAGACTTTGACCTGAGTGCAAAAATGGAGGCTCTAGACCCTTCCAGAGCTGAGATATCAAAATTCAAAATTTCGACCCGAAAAAAAACGACAGTGTTACCCCTTTCGTTTTTTTTTCATTTTCGGGCGAAAAATTAAGTTTCTCCAATCTTCTCAAAACTCTGGATTATGATAGAGGGCTGTGAAACTTTGACCTGAGCGCAAAAATGGAGGCTCTAGACCCTTCCAGAGCTGAGATATCAAAATTCAAAATTTCGACCCGAAAAAAAAAACGACAGTGTTACCCCTTTCGTTTTTTTAATTTTTGGGTGAAAAATTAAGTTTCTCCAATCTTCTCAAAACTCTGGATTATGATAGAGGGCTGTGAAACTTTGACCTGAGTGCAAAAATGGAGGCTCTAGACCCTTCCAGAGCTGAGATATCAAAATTCAAAATTTCGACCCGAAAAAAAAACGACAGTGTTACCCCTTTTGTTTTTTTTCATTTTCGGGCGAAAAATTAAGTTTCTCCAA